TCCTTCCTTCCTTCCTTCCTTCCTTCCTTCCTTCCTTCCTTCCTTCCCTCGCTTCCTCCCTCTCTTCCTTCCCGGTGGTTAGAATGCAGTATTCCAGGCTAACTGGGAGTACGATGCAGTATTCCACAAACAGAAGTTCGATCCTGACTGGAGACATCTATCCTTCCAAGGTGCGTAAAACGAGGACCCAGATTGTTGTGGGCCAGAGGCTGACTCTGTAAACCTCTTAGATAGAGAGGGCTGGAAAGCACCGTGAAGGGGCATATAAGTCCAAGAGCTACAGCAGCGAAGCTTAATTAAACACCTTATATGTTGCCATTCTCTTTGGCTTTACAGATTATTGAATGCGAACAAGATCAACTGCCTGCGAGTGGACGCTTTCCAAGACTTACATAATTTGAACCTTCTCTCTTTGTATGACAACAAACTTCAGACTATTGCAAAGGGCACTTTCTCTCCTCTACGAGCAATTCAAACACTGTACGTATGAGCATTTCGAGTGAACTCCCTGAGTAGAGCAGGAAACTTTGGCGGAAAACCTACCGCGACATCGTTCTCCCCCCCTTTTTAAATGTTCTTTTCTTTCTGTTTGTCAAAGGCACTTGGCTCAGAACCCATTTATTTGTGACTGTCATCTGAAGTGGCTGGCAGATTATCTCCATGTAAACCCCATTGAGACCAGCGGTGCTCGCTGCTCCAGCCCCCGCCGTTTGGCCAACAAAAGGATTGGGCAGATCAAAAGCAAGAAATTTCGTTGTTCAGGTAATTTCTTTTGCTCGCCTGCTACTTTTTCTTCCCTTCCAAAGAAAACTCGCCCAGCCTCTCTAAAGAGGGGAAAGAAAATTGCAGACATCCTTAACAGAAATCCTGTCTGGTTCTTAGCTGAATTATTTAGCAATCAAAGGAAGTCTGGACTTGGATCTGTAATATCCATGTAGGTTAGTAGCCCACATCTCAACCTTGGTTAAACACAAAAAATAGAGACAGAAATCGACTACATAATGCTTTTCAATTGTGAACTAAGTCAGACCATTGGGCTATATTCCTCACAGCGTTTCTTTTTCAGTCCTGGAGTACTAGCAAAATCCTTTTTTTAGAAAACCAGCAGCAATAGAAAATTGAAACGCATGTCCTTCATATTTCAAGGAAAAGCTTATGTTCTATCATGATAAATTGTGATGCTTGTTTTTTTCTAATCTTACTCTATTTCCTCCTTTCTTTCTTCTAAAATCTAACTTGTAGCATCTGGTGTCCATCTATTCTGCAGTTAATTCTGTTTTTTTAATGGCAAATTCAAGAATAACGCAACTAACCTTTATGCAAATAAATTTATATCCAGGCACAGTGTGTAAATCAATGGATGCAAATATACATTTTCCCCCTGGTAGTCACTTTAGCCTATCTGTCATCCTTACTTAGTCTAATAAATTAATTCTTTGCTTGCTGACATTCAGGTTCCTATTTTCTCTCTTTCTCTCTCTCTCTGTCTCTTTTTTAATGTAGCTAAAGAACAGTATTTCATTCCAGGTAGGTTTGGCTGTGCAGTGCAAGTAGCTGCAGACTTGAGTTTGTGCTATCACACAAAGCAATTTTGTTTTAACTTCTAAGCACAGTGATGCATGCCTTCTAACCCTAGTAAACACCTTTTAGAATAGTGCTAGTCGCCTAGATTTGTTTTCATAACCCATGAGCTTTGCATGCAGCTCTTGGTATCCAGCTCATAGTTTCTTGAAGGGGGAACTTGCTGGGATATTTTGTCTTGCTTAACATCCTTTTTCTTTAAATGTAGCTGCTGAGCTGCTTTAAAATGAAAGAATCCTGCTCGGATCAAAGGGCTGAGAAAACCCAAAGAACCCTTTCCCTCTTTGCTGTTTTATGCCCTGAACTCGATTTTCTGCTTGTCTTGCTCTATTCCTTTCTTTTGTTCCCTGTGCTTGCAAAATCACAGAGTGCCAGGTCAAAATTGGTGGGTTTTTTTTTTCTTTTCTTTGCATAAGGATCCATGGGTACCATTGCTCTGATAAAATCAAAAATAATAAAAACATCGCCACTATTTTATACCACTTTAATTCTCTTTGCACATGCCACACCAAACGCATTGGCTGTTCCTCTTTGACACATGCTTCCATTTTAATGATTTATTTTGTATGGAGGATCTTTATTCCAGTATTTTTTTGATGGTTTGAGGGAGGAACTATAGGATTGCTCATTTACATTGCAGGATCCTGATAGGTGACAAAATAATTGACTGGCAGGGGGGTTTCCAAGTTTAACTAATCTTTTGACTCAAATACAAATGCATGACCTGCCAGCAAAAAAATAAATAGAATTATTTGATATGATAACCTCCCTCTTTGTTAGGAATAAAGTCTGACCAACTGCTTTCTTTGAAGAAGGTCTGTTGGTTGCTTTGATGGAGTGAAAAGCTTCTACAAAAAGAAAAAGGCCTTTTTGATTATTGTCGAGACTTCTGATAAAAAAAATCAGAAAAGTGAAATTACTATTTCATTTTAAAATCATATCAAACACCTGGCACAGCTGGCTGGGGAATTCTAGCAGCTGAAGTCCATGCAGCTTAGAATTGCTAAGGTTACAAAATGCTGATCTATGAAATCCATACTTTAGTCTTGCAAAAGTCACCCAGGGTCATCTTAAGGAGAGATGGGCTCCGTAGAAAAATTAATAAATATATAAAAAGCTAAAAGTTAGGAGAATCCAACTTGTGAATGAGTATTTATTTAGTACAAATGAGTTTATTATTTTGAACTTCAGAATGACAACCTGTTTTGGGATGGGAGCTTAGCCAGCTATATGCCCTAAAGCTATGGACCAAGCTCTTTTTCTTCTACTTCTTTCAAACACATCCAGAAAGCTCCAAGAGCCAGCCAATGGCATGTTTGAACATGTATGACCAGAGTGCCATGGGGTTCTACTGTAGCTGTGTCCCTTTCCCATTAGTTCTATGATGGCCATTGGTGACTTTGCTTGGGCAAACCACGTCCCTGACTTGGAATTAAATTGTTGGGTGAAGTCACTGTTGCTCAGTGTTTTTGCTGTCCTCTCTGCTTCCAAAAACAAACAAACATTGGTCTGCTCTCTTTTGGGCTAAGCCACACAACCAAAGAAATTTATGTTAAAGGTATGTGTCAAAACAAAAACCCAACTCTTGGATTTGGAAGCCCCAAATTGAAGCCCACTTGTTCCTCAAACCCTAGGTGAGATCAAGCCTATCAGCAGTGGTGGGATTCAAATCATTTAACCACCAGTTCTCTGCCCTAAGGATTTCTTCCAACAACTAGTTCACCAAACTGCTCAGAAAGTTAACAACCAGTTCTTCTGAACCGGTGTGAACCGGCTGAATCCCACCATTGCATATCAACTCTCTGTCTTCTGGGAGGCTTCCATTGGAGACCACTCTGTCTCTCTTTCCTCTTTGTCTGTGTTTTCTTCTTCTCCCTCTTTCCAGGAGTTCACCACTGGGGCTGTAAGCACAGAAGGGAGTGTGTGGATCGTGCTCCTCAGATCAGAGGCACTTCCCCTTTTGAGTCTCGGTCTCCTCACCTTTGATCCAAGAAGAGTTCACGACCCTCCTTTGTTTTCTCTCCTCCCACCAACCAACCCTCAGATCTTTTCTAGATGTCTGTTTGACATGTACGTGTCTTACTTATACGACGAATGGGAAAGAAATCTCCTCCTGCACGCCTGTGTTGCTCTCCTTTCAGATTCAATGATGTGACCGTCATGGAGGAAAGTCTCGCTCCAAAGAATGCCACGGCCACCCTCTGAAGTTTCTCCCTGCCACCCTGTCCTGTTCCTTTTCCTCTTCTCCCAACCCTCCCCTTTGTTTCCTCTCCTTGTCCCGGTGGGATGAAGTTTGATTAAGTGGGCGAGATTTTCTGTTGTGCTTGATCTAACCATGTGGTTGTGAGGTATGCGTTAAACATGGTTTTGTCAAGCACCATGGAACGTCACGCAGCTTTCTACAGCATGGCAAGCTGCTGAGGCTTAAATCTGAATTCTATATTCCAAAAAACTAAAATAAAAAAAAACCAAATCAAACGAAGAGGCCAGGCAGCGCTGTAAACTGCATTGTTGAGAGATGACATAAAAAGGCTTCAGCAAAATGGAAGTCTAAACAGGGAGTGGAAAAAAAAAACGGGGGCAACGATCTACTTAACCCTAAAACTGGGGTTTTATAAAAGCCTATTGAGCCAAAAGGGACGTTGTTCTCTGTTTTTCCCACTGTAAAATGGAATAGATTGGCTGACAGCTTAATCAGCAGAAACGGCGGCTGTGAAAAGCTCCAGTTCATGTTAACCCATGTGCGGGGTTCCCCCCTCCAGCAAATTTCAAGCTTTCTCAAATTTAACCCTCGCTTAAGCCTGACTCTTCTTCAAGATCACAAAACCCTTTTCATCTTGGTTGCGAGATCGACTTATTTTCTCTTCTTCTTCTTCTTCTTCTTCTTCTCCTTCTTCTGGCAAATTTTGGAAAACCGGTTTCAAGGACGTGTTTTATGTTTTGTTTCACCCCTAGGCACAGAAGATTACCGATCCAAACTCAGTGGCGATTGCTTTGCGGACTTAGCTTGCCCTGAAAAATGCCGCTGTGAAGGCACGACGGTGGATTGTTCCAATCAGAAGCTCAGCAAAATCCCCGAGCATCTTCCGCAGTACACGGCAGAACTGTAAGTCCCACCTTGCACTGATCAGCAGAGAATAGACAGGCAGTCCTTGAGTTAGCACGGCCACAACTGAGCCCAGAATTTATCTTGCGAGGTGAGAAATTTGTTGAGTGGGCTTTGCCCCATTTTATGACTTTTCTCACCACGTTGGTTTAGCGAATTATCACAGTTGTTAAATGGTTAAATTAGTCACATGGTTGTGGCTTCTCCAGAGGTGGGATTCAAAAATCCCAGCAACCGGTTCGCTGTCCAGTTGCTGGGTGGGTGGAGCCATGATGGGCGGGATCTACCAGAATTTGCACTGAAAACGGAGCATTTAGAAGCTCAACTGCTTACCTTCCAAGTCAGCAACGGTAAGTAGAACAGTGTGTGGGGGGGATAATCAGCAGGAAATATAGGATAGGACAGGGGCCAGCTGATGGTCAGAACTACCAGTTCACCCAAACCGGTCCAAACTGGCAGCAGGCAACCACTGCTTCTAACATCTGGGTTGACCAGACAGCTGCCTGAGAGCATCCAGCCCTAGTCAAACCATCAGCAACTGGGAAGCCATTCCTAGTCCCACTGGTTTTTGCTTTGGACCACTCTTTCTCTGCTTCATTAAGACACTATCTCTGAAATAGAATAGAATAGAATAGAATAGAATAGAATAGAATAGAATAGAATAGAATAGAATAGAATAGAATAGAATAGAATAGAATAGAATACCTTTATTGTCATTGCATTATACAAATACAATGACATTTGAAAGCTACTCCAGCACAGTGCCCCAAACACCACACCACAATCACACTACAGAGTATTTAAAAATTAAAATAATTAAAATAATAATTAAAAACTTAGTCTAAAACCTATCTAAAACATATAGTAAGTTAGATAGTTTAAAAATGCCACTATATACATAGGGCTAAATCACATATGCATCGTTTGATTCAAGACAATTATTGCCTTGGAAAAGAAACTGTTTCTCAGTCTATTAGTCCTCATTTTACGACACCTATAATGCCTCTCTGTTGGTAACAGTTCAAAATATGAATGTCCAGGATGAGAACGGTCTGTGGAGATTTTTAGTGCTCTAGAGAGGAGTCTGGTCTTCGCAATCTCTTCCAAAGAAGAAAGAGAACAACTGATGATTTTTTTGTGCTGTGTTTATAACTCTCTGGAGCATCTTCTTATCCATTACAGAGCATCCAGCATACCACACCGTTACACAGTATGCCAAAATGCTCTCGATGGTAGAACAGTAAAAAGTAACCAGCAACCTCTCACCCAGACCACTCTTTTGCAGCAGCCTCAGAAAGTGCAGGTGCTGTTGGGCCTTCTTTGCAGTGGCCATAGTGTGGACCGACCAAGTAAGGTGTTGGAAATATGAGTTTCTAGAAATTTAAAAATATGAACTGAAGACCCAACAGGCCACGGGGTTGTCTAACTGAGAATTACAAGTATATTATTAGTACCTTTGGCACTTCATCATCATTATAATTATTTGATCCATTAATGCTTTAATATTATTATGAGACCTACCCTCCCATTTTTATGGTGGACAATATTGTTAACATTTGCGTCAGAAGCAAGCAGCTTGGTGCTTCGGGCGATATCAATCTGTGAGCTGCAGTTCACCGTGCTTGTTACGACACAAATGACAAAGCCAAGCCTTTCCAATTATATCCTTTGCTGTGTTTCACAGCTGGAAGGGAGCGGAGAACAGAAACAACTCTGGGGAATGCTTGCAAACAGAGGAGGTTTTTCTAAGCGAGGAAGAGAACTGATTTAGCAACAGGCATAATGACACTGGCTTTTCAGGAGGCTTCCTTTAAGTATTTGCTTGTTAATTCAACCCATGTGCTCGTGGTTTGCTGCCAAAATCTGTACTGAACTGCGTTAGGGATGATGCAAGCTGTAGCAGATAAGATTCAAAACCAGGTTATTGAAAGGGAAATGGGAGGGCAGAGCTGTCAGGCCAGCAACATCATCTCTTGGCCTGTAATTTATATCATAAAAATATAAATGTCAAATGTCAAATAATAAGAAAGACTCAGACTATGTTGAAGTACAATTTGGATGCACCAGTTATAAGCCTTATATTAGTGACTTGTGGATGCAAGAATAAAATGTATTCATTCATCCATCCATCCGTTCATTCATTCATTTTTTCATCCATCAATTCATTCATTTGCCCTCCAATGCTTTCAGGTGGGAAACAAATAGCAAAATCCATGGGTCAAAAGGGGAGTTTTTCCAGAGAGGAAAGCCCTGAGGATATGATCCGCTTCAAGACTTTCACATTAAGAACTTCACCCAGCAGAGTCCTTAAAAAGAAAGCAGGAACTGAATCCCATTGTGCCCATTTGCTTTCTGCCTCTGCCTTTATTACAATTACTTTTGAAATTAAGTATGATGATCCAGGGTTGGGATACAAAACAAACACAGTCACAGAAAACAGGTGAAGCCCCTTTTATTCCTTCACTTTGCTTCCAAGCTCTGAATATCCTTGATGGAAGACAAAAAAACTTCCACACAAACAGTTACAAGAAGAAGGAAAAAAAGCAACACAAACCAGGCAAGATAAGGGCTAGAGGACGTCCACAGATAACAGAACACACACTGGGAAGGATGCCAAACTCAGAGTGGAACGACAGACTAGAGATATTTCCACGTTTTGTTTCCAGCACTGGCCCATACCCATGTCCGTCCTCTTATCCAGTTGTCACAGCTGCAGCCCATGAAGAGGATCAAGGCCCTTTCCTCCCCTCTAGAACACACCATTCACATCTCTCCCTTATCCTCTCCTCCCTGTGTGCCCTAGGATGGAAAGAGGATGGGCCTGGTTCTTTCTCTGGCTGCTCAGCTGGCCTCTGCCCTTCCCCAGCTTCCTCCACAACCTCCGGAGCTACACTTCCACTCCCTGTTGTTCCTCCTCTCCCACAGAGTCAGTCTCCACAAGGGGCATGACATTAAGGCACATTTTGTTTCCGGGAAATTTATTGCAATTAATAAGTTTTGCCACAGGTGAAATACAGTTGGTCCTCGAATTACAACAGTTCATTTAGTGATCATTCAAAGTCACAACAGCAGTGAAAAAGGTGACTTACAATCATTTTCCACACAACCTTTGCAGCATCCCCCCGGCCACGTGATCAAAATTCAGATGCTTGGCAACTGACTCATATTTTTGATGGTTGCAGCGTCCTGGGGTCACACTTGGCCAATAAAGTATTCTACTTTACTCTACTCTACTCTATTTTTGCGACTTTCTGACGAACAAAGGCAATGGGGAAACCAGATTCACTCAACAACCATGTTACTAATTTAACAACTGCAATTATTCACTTAACAACGGTGGCAAGAAAGGTCGTAAAATGGGGCAACACTCACTTAATAAATGTCTCAACAGCAGAAATGTTAGGCTTAATTGTCATAAGTCAAGGACTATCTCTGCAGATAGGCTACCTACATGTGAGACAACTTTTTAAGGCCACTACACAATCGCCATAGCTTTCATTCTATATTCTGAAACCAATTGTGGTGAAGGTGTGAAATCATTTATGAAGCATTGGAAAATATATTTAAAAATGCATATTCATAAAAACTTTGAGGAGAAACTCTGTGTGACATCAGATTGAATTGATTGGTCAATTATTTTGGGAAAAATTAATAACAACTAGTGATCTGATAACAGATATATTGTTTGGTTGGTGGAATATACATACCAGTCTACTTATTAAAATCATATGGAGGCTGTTTGCATTTGGTAGATTAATTGAGCAGGATTTTTTCAGTAACATCTGTAGTCTGTTTAAATTACGAATTTTTGTAATCCGGCCAATAAGTTTTGCTTATTGCACAAATGTAAACCCAGATAAGTAAATCCATAAATAACTATAAATATAACTTGCTTAGTGTCCAATTCCTGCATCCCTCATATTGAATGCGTATCTTATTGTTTGCCATTTTTATACGCTATTCACTTTTCAGATAAAATTGTGTTGCTTATTACTCCCAGCTGCTATATGAAAATATGCAGTCAGTCGATGTCTGCTTATTTTCAATAGGTGGTCAGGCTTTATTTTTTTTTCTTCTTGGTCCCAGAATTTGACAGCATGCTATTAATTGCTGTTTTTGCATAGATTTACTAAAGACATGAACTCAGACATACATATTTATTATGGTTTCCATTTACAGGAGGCTCAATAACAATGAATTTACAGTGCTGGAAGCCACGGGGATCTTTAAGAAGCTTCCCCAGCTGCGGAAAATGTGAGTAAAATTTGTCAGCCTGTCCTGGTGTAAGCAGTCTCAAGTGCAATCATTAACTTTTTGTAAAAAAAAACACAGCCTAGCGGGAAAGTGAGGGTGTTGAGATGACCCACCAGTGATATTTATCACAGAACATCTTCAAAGATCAATTCATCATCATCTGGATGCCTCCAAATACATGGAAATTCCAGATAGTGTATTGTGGTCCTATGCAGAAATGGGAGAGAGCGTCTTATCGAAGTTGATGGATAAGAGGCTACGAAAGGTTCATACATGTTGTTTAGAAGTCTCAGTGTCTCATTCTAAAGGAACACAGTTTGTTAGAGTTTGCAGCATAAATTCAAGTCCAGAAAACATCGAGATGACTGATTCAGCAGGATTGAATAACTTCTTTATGAACATAGTAACATGAGTAAAGTTTACAATACCATTTGTAGATTTTTTCAACGTAACAGAAGCAAAAACAAGCAGCAGCAGCTCAAAGCAGATATTAGTTTCAGTAAGCAAGCAAGTTAGTTTCAGTTTCAATTCTCAGCAAAGCACACAGAGCCAAACCACACCCAGGCTGTCAGCTCCCATTGGCTGGTTTGCTGCCATGCTTACTCTCTTGCTGACTTTGTTAACCATGTCTCTGCCAGTTAATGAATATACTCTGACACAGTTGACCTTGGAGAAGTTATGAATGAGGAAGGGATTGAATTTGGAGAACAGATTTACACAGTCCCTAAAAATGCTGGTGGAAAATAAAGGTTTGGATAGAAGAAGATAGAAGTTAACCAGAAAGTAGAGTTCAGACCAGAAATGTTCTTACTGGGAATTATTAATGAGAAATACAGTAAAGGAACAATATACACTGCTCAAAAAAATAAAGGGAACACAAAAATAAGACATCCTAGATCTGAATGAATGAAATATTCTTATTAAATATGTTGTTCATTACATAGTTGAATGTGCTGACAACAAAATCACACAAAAATTGTCAATGGAAATCAAATTTAGCAACCCATGGAGGTCTGGATTTGGAGTTACACTCAAAATTAAAGTGGAAAAAAAACACTATAGGCTGATCCAACTTTGATGTAATGTCCTTAAAACAAGTCAAAATGAGGCTTAGTAGTGTGTGTGGCCTCCACATGCCTGTATGACCTCCCTACAATGCCTGGGCATGCTCCAGTTGATGTGGCGGATGGTCTCCTGAGGGATCTCTTCCCATACCTGGACTAAAGCATCCCCCAACTCCTGGACAGTCTGTGGTGCAATGTGGCGTTGGTGGATGGAGCAAGACATGTGTCCCAGATGTGCTCAATTGGATTCAGGCCTGGAGAATGGGCGGGCCAGTCCACAGCATCAATGCCTTTGTCTTGCAGGAACTGCTGGCACACTCCAGCCACATGAGGTCTAGCATTGTCTTGCATTAGGAGGAACCCAGGGCCAACCGCACCAGCATATGGTCTCACAAGAGGTCTGAGGATCTCATCTCGGTACCTAATGGCAGTCAGGCTACCTCTGGCGAGCACATGGAGGGCTGTGTGGCCCCCTAAAGAAATGCCACCCCATACCATTACTGACCCACTGCCAAACTGGTCATGCTGGAGGATGTTGCAGGCAGCAGAACATTCTCCATGGTGTCTCCAGACCCTGTCACATCTGTCACATGTGTTCAGTGTGAACCTGCTTTCATCTGTGAAGAGCACAGGGCGCCAGTGGCGAATTTGCCAGTCTTGGTGTTCTCTGGCAAATGCCAAATGTCCTACACGGTGTTGGGCTGTAAGCACAACCCCCACCTGTGGACGTCAGGCCCCCATAATACCCTCATGGAGTCTGTTTCTGACCGTTTGAGCAGCCACATGCACATTTGTGGCCCGCTGGAGGTCATTTTGCAGGGCTCTGGCAGTGTTCCTGCTGTCCCTCCTTGCACAAAGGCAGAGGTAGCAGTCCTGATGCTGGGTTGTTGCTCTCCTACGGCCTCCTCCACATCTCCTGATGTACTGGCCTGTCTCCCGGTAGCGCCTCAATGCTTTGGACACTACGCTGACAGACACAGCAAACCTTCTTGCCACAGCTCATATTGATGTGCCATCCTGGATGAACTGCACTACCTGAGCCACTTGTGTGGGTTGTAGACTCCATCTCATGCTACCACTAGAGTGAAAGCACCGCCAGCATTCCAAAGTGACCAAACCATCAGCCAGAAAGCATAGGAACTGAGAAGTGGTCTGTGGTCACCATCTGCAGAACCACTCCTTTATTGGGGATGTCTTGCTAACTGCCTATGCTTTCCACCGGTTGTCTATTCCATTTGCACAACAGCATGTGAAATTGATTGTCAATCAGTGTTGCTACCTAAGTGGACAGTTTGATTTCACAGGAGTGTGATTGACTTGGAGTTACATTGTGTTGTTTAAGTGTTCCCTTTATTTTTTTGAGCAGTGTATTTAATGATACATATAAGAACAGCTGCGAGACTGGTGAATGCCCAAAACTGGAAGAATGAAGATATCCCTACAGAAAGTTTCTTCCAGTTTCCCTACAGAAAGTGAAATAATAAGGAAAATATTAGTCAGTGCAGAGATAGACAGACTAACTTTAGAAATCAAAGAGTGAGACAGAGTATTATGAAGTCTGGAGTAAAATGTATCGATGGCTTAGAGTCAAGGAAAAGGAAAGGAAGGGTTGACGCTTTATAGGAATGAAAGTTAAAGTTTTGTAAACCGAAGAGAATGGAATATAATGGACAAATACAAGATGAAACGAATGCATGAGTATAAAAGACGGTTGTAAATATGTATATAATTGTATATAGATGTAAATAGAAATAATATGCAGCTAGTACTACACTAATAACATAAGGGAAAAAGGAAATTAACTGTTATGTGTATCTCTATACTATAGCTTGTATGGCCAAAATGATGGCCAAGAAAGTCGCACTATGTTCAATTGTTTTTAATGTTTTTTCAATAAAAATTATTTTAAAAAAAAGATTTACACAGTTCCAAGACTGAAGGAAGGGTCAGAAATAAGCTCAAGGTAATTCAACTTTGATTTTGTTTAGCTTAAGATGGGACAGAGGAAATCCTGGACAGGATTTTAAGATTCTGTTATCATACCCCATGACAATAAAGTGGAATTGCTGAGGGGCCTGTTTTCCTGACATGGCCTACCTCAAAAGACTGACATCAATCTCGAAAGCCAATATTCAAACTTTAATACACTCAGATGATGGTCAGCTTTTAAAAATCCTACAGCCGTATTTTTAGAAACTTTCTACCATCCTGTTTGCTTCTACGTGGTTCTCTTGCAATAGAAATTGGGGTGGCTAGCTACATTTTTTAGCAGGCTGAAAAAGCATTCTAGTTATGAACATGGAAACCAAATTATAATACTGTGTAAAAATGCAACACGTATTTAGTTGGCCTTATTTTAGCATGATAAAAATTTAGAGTATAATCAAGCATGCAGAAAATGGGATTTATTGTAAGTCAGATACTTTTGAGACGCGATGCCAGCGTTGAAAATTAACATTTTCAAAGTTCTTGAAATGTTTCTTGCCATTTAGACTGTGATAGTATTTTAGAAATAATTTTTCCTTCCCCTTTTCTGGAATCACTGCCTCTGGTTGATGTGAACGCCAAGCCTTCCTTATTGCTCTCTTGAAATCAATGTCTTTTTTTAAAAAAAAAAAAAAATCAGTTCTAGAAGTGATTGATCTAAAGGATATTTGTATTTTCTTCATTATGAACACGCAATAGAAATCTGAGCAATAACAAGATTACAGATATTGAAGAAGGCGTATTTGAAGGAGCTGCTGGGGTCAATGAGCTTTTGCTCACCAGCAACAGGCTGGAGAATGTGCGGCACAAAATGTTGAAAGGCCTGGAAAGTCTGAAGACTTTGTAAGTCTGCAATCTCTTCCTCCTTATTTTTTGCACTTAAATGTCTGTGGAGTGTGATGACCCAAAGGGACGTGGCACAAAGGCTACACAGTCAGATAATCAGCACCAACTTTGCCCCCAATGTCCTGGTTACCTTCTGGGCTGGAGAAAAACTCTCCCAGGAACAGCCTTTGGCTGCAGAGAATCAAGTCCAAAACGTGGTCAACACAAACTGTAACTATAAATCCAATCAAGGCAAAATGAGGTCATTAGTCCGGCAGGGCAAGAGAAGGAATTCCAGACATGAAGGCATGGCAATACCTCAACACGGTTGGGAGGGCGTCAGGAACCCAGATAAGCAAAGACAACACAGGATAAACTCACGTTTGCTCCCAGGAGCTGGCACACTCAGCTTGCATCTCCTTTAAACTCTCATTCCCAGCTGTGACTAATGAAGGGAATCAGGGCCCTTTCCTCCCTCATAAGCCACGCAACTCACGTTGCTCTCTTCTCCATTCCTCCCTGCATGCTGCAGGATGAAGAGGGGATGGGCCTGGGTCTACCTCTGAACTCCCTCTCCCTTGTTCTCCTTCTCCCATACTCTGCCCAGCTGGACTTTGCCCAGCTGGACTTTCCTCCACAGCCAACAGAGCCACAGTCCCGCTCCCTGTCAGCTGTTCATCTTCCTCCTCAGATTCAGACTCTGACAGGGGCATGACAGTGGAGATTCTCCATCATCCAGGCCAGGGTTGTCCCAAAGGTGCTTTTTCAAAAAGGCAACTGAACTTTCTTTGTTTTCATTTGAAGATGTTTCACTTCTGATCCAAGAAGCTTCTTCAGCTCTGACTGGATGGTGGGGAGAATCAAATCCATCCATTCTCCATAGATGGAGGGAGGTGTTCTTTGAGCTGAACTGTTGGCTAGGAAAGAAATAATCTAATGCAGGGGTGTCAAACTCGAGGCCCAGGGGCTGGACCTTGGAGTGCTTAAATTTGGCCTGTGGGGTTGGCCTGAAGATAGCAAAGGACCGTCCCACGGTGCCTCTGGCAGCCAAAACGGGGCACGGGGCCTGGCAGAGTGCTGCAGGAGGCATCCGTCCCATCTCCTCCCCGCCCCCCGGCCTGGCCTGCAGAGGAGAACTACAATGCTAATCCAGCCCTCGAAGAAATCCAGTTTGACACCCCTGATCTAATGGAATAGGAGGTAGTTTAATAATGTAATTATTTAAGGAGCCTGCCTCCATCCCTCTTCATTTAAGATGCCTCCATTGTCTCCCCGCAATTGTTTTTCCTCCTCCTATTTCTCCTTTCACATTTCTCCCATCTTTCTTATTGCCTTCGTTATGGAAAACATTTACTAAGGAAGTATGAAATACCCTGTCCCAGGACCAGAATGTTTCTTTTCTGAGCCATACTGACCGGGCCATTCCAATGGCTATTGAGAAGGTCTTCTCTTGAAGCCATGACGGTCCAAAAATATCCTTCCAGTTGGGTCTGGACCCCATGCCAAACACCATGGGCCATTTCTGGCTCAAAGCGTCTGGAAACCTAGCAGAAACCATCCCCTCCCCTCCCCAGAACAGCCATATTGGTATGGCCCAAAGTAGAGATGGTGTCAGGATTCCGGGAGTTGCCCTAATGAAATCATGAGCCTCGAGCCAAGCTTCAAAAACTTCAAAGAATTTATTAGGAGGGAACATGTCGGCATGATCGGTATGAAGCCGATTCTGAGACATGTAATTCACTGTCACTCTTGGCCCTGGTTTCCCCCCACCCGTCTGGGTGCATCATAATTCATATTCTCCAACGAAACACATCCACAGCCAAGAGTCATCAATCACGTTCTCCAATTAGAGATTTGCAGTGCAGAAACTCTGGTAGCTTAGTTACAATCTTTGCAAGATATGAATGGAATACATTTTCGGTTCCAAACTGCTGCAATGCTCTTTCAAATTTCTCCCCCCCCCCCCCCCCCCCTCGCTTCTTTTCAACCCCCAAACAAGCCTAGAAATGTTTTAGGGGTTGGCCCATGCAATGTTTCAAGGCATTCTACGATGCTGTTTTGCAC